AAATACTAATGCATGAAAATCCTAACCTCAAAAAAATCACCCGTTATTTGCAGTTGCCATTCAGTTTGGCAAAAATGAGTTATACGTATGGAAAAGAAAACAAAGACATGTTTTGAAAAACAAAGTCAGAGTATAGATGGTCACCGTCACTTATGTACAGTATATTTTGCTTAGCTGCACATCCTTCTTTGCACGAAAAACTTGTGCTCCTAACCGAAAAAGGCACTTAAGCGAATTTTCTTTACTACTTCAATGAGGAAGTTATCCGAATCCCTATGAAACCAAATAATGGAAAAGCACTTATCACGTAGAAAATAATGCAAGCGAAATTTTTTTCGAATGGTTTCTTTTTATTTTTATAACTACATAAATTGATAGCCATTTTCTTTGTTCTGCGATATGAGCAAAATAAATAAAAGCTTGTAAAATTAGGTAATTGTAGGGCCAGTGCAGGTAAACGTAATACTTTCTTTGATATTTGATACTAGTCGCACAATTTTTAAGGCAGGTATCGCCAATGTGCGTGTATGTTGAATGCATCTATCAGAGCAGTTTCGTTATAAATTTTAAAAATAATGTCTAATATGCACATTTTGCAAAATATACTGTATACTGATAAGCCGTTATGGAATTGGTGCAGTGGTGAATAAAGTGAACTTATTCTGGATGTGTTTGATATAAAAAAGATTTTCATAAACTAAGATATGGTATTTTTGTCGATGAAGAATTATTGGTTATATCATGCTGCAAATTATGTAAAGATTTCGTGCTGAAATCTTGTGTGGTTTTCGCGTTAAAAAAGAAAATGCATCTCCATATTTTATTTATTTTTTGTTGCAAATTGAAAACTTTAAACGCGTCCTTTGCATTTAGAATTAAGGCGGGCTTTCCATAAATGAGCAATATGTACTATGTATGCCTATTAGGGTGGTCAAAAAATACCCGTGAAAAAGTAAAGTCGGAAGTTTTATGCTCTCATCCCTAGGATTGTTCCATACCGAAAAAATATACCCTTATTTTCTCATTTTGAAATCAAAAAATATTTAGAGGTCGCTCAAAGCGCCTAAAGTTTTCCATGTATTTTATATGGGGAAAACCACTTTTCGTAGAAATGGTATAGAATAGTTAAAAATAAATATTTTTCTACCAGAAAACTCTTATTATCTGCAGGAGATTCCTAGTAATAATACGCAATTGTTTATTTAACCATTTTTTCGTTGCAACTAAAAATGATAGGACCGCCAAAAACCCCGAAAAATGCAATGGGGCGACCAATAAAAAATCGTTAATATTAAAAAATGGTTAAATAGACAATTGGGTATTATTATTGAAAGTCTCCTGAAGAGAAACAGGGTTTTCCTATCGAAAAATATTGACTTTCAAGAATTCTCTACCATTTCTACGAAAAAATTTATTTCTTCCATATAAAAATACACGGAAAACTTTGAGCGCTTTGAGCGACCTCTAAATTTTTTTTGGATTTCAAAATGAGAAAATAAGGTTATATTTTTTCGCTATAGAACAATCCTAGGGGGTGAGAGCAATACAATTTCGACTTTACTGTTTTTGGACCACCCTAATGCCTATACATATAAATATGAACTGTGGTGTATTGGTAAGCAGTGCGCACTTCCACTCCGCAGCGCCTAGGTTCAAGCCCTGGTCATCTCAAATAATGTTTTTCTTAACAGCGGTCGCTCCTCGGCAGGCAATGACAAACCTCCGAGTGTATTTATGCCATGAAAAACAGCTTCTCATAAAAATACAATCGCCGTTCGGAGTCGGCATAAAACTGCAGGTCCCTCCCCTTTGTGTGACAATATCAAATCGGAGGAGAAGCTCGGCCAAACACTAACATATTTATGTGTAAGCGTCAATCTGTTATTATTATACGTACGTTCATAAATATATATGTACATATGTATATAAGTTTATCTAATAACTAGAATTGTTTACGTACCGTTAAGAAAACAAGCATTGTTCAATATTTGTGTCGACGAAGTGGACATGCATTTTTAGCTTAAGTTTATAGTTTTGAACTAAAAATTCTTTAGCAGTTTATATTATTTAATATAAGTATAGTTATTTGATATAAATATGTGAATACAAATCGATCCATTTGCAATATTGTATAAAAAAAAAACATCAGCATTTAATTTTTCTTAAATGAAATTACGAATAGAACCTGCCTTGTTGCAGTCATTCTAGTTACAATAAATATTATTCTTTTTTCGGTATATTTTGAATTTAAGGGTAATTCATGCACATCGCCCCTATTCTTTAATTGTTCTAATATATTTCGGTCTTTTTTGCTGATTTTTCTACTTGTAAATTACCTTTAAATACCTAAAATAAAACTAATCTTTGCTTTTCTTTTATTTTCTCTAAAACAATCCATACACAGAATCCTACTTACGGCAAACAAAGCGATATGCTAATGGATGAGGAATCCTTGGACAAAGAACCATCGCCACCACTTGTTAGACCATTGCATTGCCTAACTTCGACGGCCACGGTCCTACGTAATTATCGCCACAATCCAATGATTGGTGGTCCAGATGTTCTACCTTCGCCGCCATTTGGTCCTACCGGTAATAATAACACCAGCGCTGGCAGCGGCAGCGACGACGCGAGCCCACCTGACCTGACACCGGCCGAAACTGAATCCACTTCGGATAGCGGCATTGATGACATCAGTCTAGTTGACGCTTCCTCACCGGTGAAGATATCGTTGGACAATCGCAACAGCGCAATTTCGAAACCGCTGAGTGGTTGCTCAGCAGCCACTAAAGATATGCTCTTGATAAAGTGCTTGAATAGCAGAGCAGCCAAGAAACGTGGTGCAATGGACGCACTGGCCATCGAACCACAATTTAAGCAACAACAGCCGTTTTATTCAGTAGACAACTCAAGCAACGATGGTGGTAGTGAGGACAGCAATGATGGTGACATTAACGAAGCTCCTAATGGCAATCGGGGCCGAAAGCGATTGTTGGACGACATAAATCCACTCATGGAACCGTTTATAATGGACTTGTGCAATGATGACTACGATGTGGCGGCTACCGAACAACTCCTAGGAAGCAACGGAATCGAAGACGTACTCAGCGATTGGACGCACGAAATGGCCTAGCTGAAGCAAAACATGACTAACACCGGACAAAAGAATCAAACCAAACAAAGGCAAAAACGACAACGGCAAGGGACATGGAATTCGCGGACACAATAGAAAAAAGTCAGAGTTTATAAATGGGATCCAGGGGGAAAAATATTACAGGAAGAACGATTGAAAAGCAGTTGTAAACAGAAAAACATATGCATTTAGATGTTGGCTGACAATTTCATGATGATTTCTAAAATCGATGCAACGAGAAGTCAGTCTTTCTTCTTATTGTTAGGGAATATGAGATAAAATTCAGGAAAATGCTTTTATAAAATAAATCAAAAAAAAAAAAAAAAAACTCAAGTTTGCGAGATAAAACTACAGCAGAGGAAATAGCTGAATGTAAAGCAAAAAACAAGTTTATTCAAATATAGAAAACGAGTTGTTTTGTGCATTTATGCTTACATACTAAATGTACATATATGTATGCACAATATTTGGAATATTACTTTTAACTCACTCAACAATATTGCTTTGGGTATTATAAATGTACGCTTGCACAAGTGAACGCTTCATTGACGATTGACGATGATAATGATTCTTGAAAAATCGACTTCGCGCCAGCACTAATTCTTGATTTAACTACGACGTTCCTAAGCAAATTTAATTCGCTGCTATTTCCAATATTCCATTTAGTTTTTCAGCGATTTATTTTGTCAATCATCTTGAGTCGATTCATTAGTGCATGCAGGACTTGCATTATTGCATTTTTAGTAAAAGATTTTTTATTTTTGTATTCTTTATTCATGTCTTAATTGGGATGTAAACATGGTATCGCGTTTTTGTGTATTATTTAGTTACAACAGGTCACACGCAGCTGTAATATTTGCACTTTTATCCGAATTAAAAAAATATCCCACATAAACATGCAATAAATACATACATACAGCCATACATATGTTGCGAAGGGTCAGAAAAAAATTCAAAAACAGCAAATACAAAGAAGCAAATGCATGTAAACACATTTTAGTTTTAAATTTTTACTGCCCAAAACAGAAGTCAGTAATAATTGTGGGTTTAATTGTATAGCACTAAATTTTACATGCAACTCTGTTAGCACTCAGTTAAAAAATGGGGGAAAAAAGTAAAAAAAAAATTAAAAAATTAAAAATTTCATAGTTCTTGCATACCATTTATAAAAGAGAGTTTCCTTTAACTTACAAAAGTTCAAAAAGCTCGAGCGCCCCGAAAATTTTACTGAATTGTTGAAAGGTATATGAAAATTTAGAAAAAATCAAATATAAAACATAAAAATTATATAGCACACCGTAAATACTCTAAAAAATCACTAATAAATAAAGAAATTAATCTAAACGTAAATATTTTTATATTCCGGTTTTCATACTTTTTAATTTATTAGAGAATAAACTGGCTTTCAATAAAAAATTAAAACCTCTAAATAGAGCGCAAACTATGCAAGGCTATGAAACAAAAAAATTTTATTTATATGTAAGCGTAATTATAGGAATAAAATGTTTGAAAACAAAAAAGAGGAAAATCAAATGTTTGTATATTAGTTTAAGATTTTTATCAAAAGAATCGCGGACGAGGGTATTTCACAGCAGGCTAGCGAGAAGGTTTGAAAAATCCAAGAATACATGAATATGTACATTAGTCTGTATCACTCCCCATCCAAAAAAAAAAAATCGGTACTATTTTTCCATTGGAATTATAAAATCTATTATATTTTAAGACGTCCACCACAATATTTTGGAAAAATATTAAGATTTACGTGAGCTGGAACGGTTTGAAAATACCTCTAAAAATGGAGTTTTGAAGAATAAAAATAGTTTCTTAAAGATTTTTTTAAAGGTCCTCTCAGATGACAACAGATTAAGCTTAAAAATCTGCATAAAAATATTAAAAACAAATTTTTTTAAATTGTGAACGGAATCGTAATGATGAGATTTTTGATGCTGTTTTTTAACTTTTGACAAAGATTGGTATAAGAAAAACTTGAAGAACTGAACATAAGCTCTTCCGCTTTAGACTTTTGAGGTATCATTGGAAAGGTCTTTTCTCACCTTTTAATTTTAATTTGCTAATAACCTCATTCAAACGATGAAAGAGAAAGGTAGGATGAACGGATGGCATTGAAAGTTGAATTAAGATGTATTGGTAATAGAAAAAAAAATAAAAATTGGAACACGAGTGACCTGTTTTAGACAGAAATAAAAACAGTGTGAATATATCTTTCTACTGAGATCCCATAAGTCTAAATCAGAATAGTTTCGGCCCAGTTATGCAAGTTTTTCGTAAATCAATCTTTGAAAAAAATTAAAAAAAAAAACAGCATCAAAAATCTCATTCTTACGATCCCGGCGGAAAACCGCACCTTTTTTTGGGTGATGCAGTCTAATGTACATACGTTCTCGCAGTACTAGCTCAGAGAAAGTTAAGGTGAAGCCACGAAAAAGTGCAGTCACTTATTTTGTGGAAATTTGGAAAAGGTCTTGTTGTTTTTATTTTTCTTCTACATATATATGTATGTAGTGTGTTAAGTTAAAGGAAATTACAATTTACATTCAATTAAAAATTTTAAAGAACGCATGGGAATGAAAATTGTCACATCTGATGGACGGTGTTGATTATTCGGTAAATATCTGGTAGAAAACGGATTTACTGACGCAGGGTAACAAATTAAGTACGAAGTTTTAAGGTGACCGGGTACAGGTCGAGTAACTTACAAAGCTATATAAAAAGCATCTTAAAAATTTTCTACGCAGTCATAAAAACAAAATTTCAAATGGCTACTCGGAACTAACAGTTTTTGGCTCAGTTATATATTAGGCAATTTCAATATGAATTTTGAAAGAAGAATATGTATATGAAGTTAAAAAAAAAATTATGACTAAAGATGAGGGAATTCAAAAAATGGTCAAACAGTTTTTTTGTGGATATTTTCCATCTTTGCGGCATTTTGTCAATAATTTTATTCAAACATTTCTTTAGCGTCAGATGTCGGAAGCGTTTTTGGAAATACTTGGCCTACAGAGGTAGAAGTTTTTTACAGTTTTTTACAAGTAACAAAATTGTCATAACTGGTATTGTCGCAATTAAATACTTTTTATAAAGTTTGAAAACTATTTTTGCTGATTTATAGAAAGGTCAAGAATATTTTAATATTTATGACAATATGACTTTTATGGACACCATCTGAATCACCAAAATACGTTTTACATTTTATGTACTTCTTTCAAATTTATCAAAACCCGCCTTCGATTCGCCACTTCTGAGCTCGCCAAGTATAACCTATGTTCTCTTGTTAAAAAATATGTTCGGATATATGAAAGCATCAACCAAGTTATCCACCTGAATTTAACACAAGAAAATATGGGGATTCCTTATTAATTTGGTCCATTAGGCAAGGTTTAAACTTTTGTGGAGTAAGTGCTGTTAATATGAAAATCGATAGTTAAACCCTTGTCAGTGGTTAACCACCCAGTGCGAATTCGTCTCTACTGTTAAGTATGAACGCAGTTTATTTGATCTAAGTTTAAACTGGCACTGAAAAACTGGCTATAAATGCTGATGAATCGAAGGCGGCTTATATTACTGACCGACCTATCAGTTAAGGCGTAAGGTGTGGCAATTTTTTTATAAGGCATTTTACAAGGAATTGTAAGGTTATGTATTTTGAAGTCTCGTTTAATATTTTGAAAACTTTTTAATCGAATATTGTGCGAAGGTTTATGCGCTGAATTAAAAAAAAAAAACACTTTGATTTGCCGAACAATAGATGTGCATACATATGTATGTTTGGTTTTTTATTTAGAAGTAATTTTAATATCTTAAATCCACAAATTCACTTATAATTTTTTAATTAAGAATTTATCAGAATCAATTGAAATAGTAAATTTGAAAAAGAATCAATATAACGGACTGAAAAACGATGGAATCAGAGTTGCATCGTCATATTTAAATGCTCTTCCGAAAACAGCAACCATATGTCAACGACACACGACAAATAAAATACCTTGTGAATTGGCCGTACATATTTGTATTTTGTAGTCTTTTTACAGTTCATTTGCTTTTTTATTATTTCTGTTTTGGCAAACATTTACATACATATACACAAATACATATTGTAATTATGATTTTAATATACTCTAAATAAATATTAATTGAATGGTAAATTGTAATAAAAAATCAGCAGTGTTGCCACTTTGAAAATGTAGTGAAAAAAGTAAGTATAAAAAATATTAAACAAAGTTCACATGCGTTCTTATAAGCTCCGCCAACCGCATATCTGGCGTGGACCATCGGCATGCGGGATATGCCAGCACACAGCTGGTATCTGATTTAATTTTGCCAGCCTTTATGGCTCTTCTTAGATCCTCGTAAGGTACCAGCGCATCCAAAAGCCATCCGTAGCTGCTGACTCCATCAATAATTTTTTGTAAGCTTGTCGCCCGTCCCTGATGGACATCTTTGCTGGACTTTTGTAGCCATAAACAAATGGATTTTTGTACGCAAGCTGCTATGTCTACGTCATTGTCCGAGAAAGTCTCGGCGATGTGAGCCAGTAGGCTGGGTAGTGTGGTCTCTGTGTGCAAAGAATTTAACGGGTTAAAATATGAAGCTGCAATCGCCTCAAGGATTGGTTTCAAAATGGAAAATTTAGTAGTATAAGTCTCAGTATAATGAACAATGGACAAATGATAATGACAAATTCTTCCCGAATTGAAATTGAATTGAATCTCAGAGGTGGTCACATACTAAGCTGGTTTAGATCCGATCATTGGATCATGATATATGATATGATATATATATATAAATAATTGGAATCGGTTTTGTTTTTTTACTTCAATTAAAATTTTAAATTACATACACACATATGTATGTTTGTATGGTGTTTCCTATTAAAATACGATCTGTATTTTTAATTGAAATTACTTGATTTTGATGCCAGAATAGAAATTTGACGGAAATTTGGTTGGCTAAAACCAACTATGCGCACGATTGCTAAACTTACCTACTCTTTCGCCTGTACCATTTTTGTAGACTAACTTGAAGTGTTCCAAAAGACTTCTTGCATCGTTTGTATAATCCTCTACATTGGAAGATCGTTCGTCTTTGCTCATAGTTTTCTTAGTTTGCCTCCCTTCTCCAATGCCATTACTTTTCTCAACTGCAACTGATTCGGACTCGCCTTCAGCCGTATGCGCCTGAAATACATTAAGTGAGCGTATGATGTGAGCCACAAACAAGCTGCCACCGGCCAATAGACCGCTGATAACCAACGATCCTGTGTTGATATTCACCATAGCCTGCAGTGATGTAAATTTTTAAAAAAGTTGAATATAAAAATTTAATTAAGAAGTGGTCTAAAATTGCAAATTTTCAGGACATGCACAAATTATTCGACTAAAAAAATATAGTTTTGCAGCCTTGTAATACACCCCTTCAAATCCATTAATTTTTCCATTAACTAATTTTTTCGATGTCCTTGGGAGTGGGAGAAATCCTACCGTACATACATACAGTTGTCCACAAAATAATAGGAGTGCGATATTTTGACCAGTTTTGGCTATTTGTCTTTTGTTTATTTAATGTTTATTATTTTTTTACAAAAGCCTAGCTGGCTATACAACAAACACCATATAAATTCAGATTTTAAACTTTGTATAAAAATTATAAAAATTTTGCAATTTTTCACCCAAATTTCAAACTTTTAAATCAGAATCTTTAGAAAAAATTCTGGTATGCAGTTTTGTAGCACATTCAATTCTAGTCTGAAGAAGTGCAAGTTTCAAGCGGCTAAAAAATTCCGTTGATTTTTGAGAATTTTTATGGTTAAAGGTGTTTCACGTTTTTTCCATACAAAGTATGTCGACAATTTTCTTTTATATGGAGGACACTGCCAGCAAAAAAATTGCCAAAAATCAACGGAATTTTTTAGCCGCTTGAAACTTGCACTTCTTCAGACTAGAATTGAATGTGCTACAAAACTGCATACCAGAATTTTTTCTAAAGATTCTGATTAAAAAGTTTGAAATTTGGGTGAAAAATTGCAAAATTTTTCTAATTTTTATACAAAGTTTAAAATCTGAATTTATATGGTGTTTGTTGTATAGCCAGCTAGGCTTTTATAAAAAAATTATAAACATTAAATAAACAAAAGACAAATAGCCAAAACTGGTCAAAATATCACACTCCTATTATTTTGTGGACAACTGTATATATCTTTTCTAGTACCAAATTTTGTGTATCTCCTGAAAACGTGCAATTCTGAACATTTTTTAATTGGTGTGACAGGGCGTATGATGAATACAAAATTATTAAATTCAACTTTTCTACTAAATACATTCCTTTTTCTTAAAAAAAATGCCTTACAAAATATTAAATAAACCAAATCATATGCTTTCATATTTTATATGTCCCTTCAGACTGTTCAACTGTTGTAAATCTATACGATATGAAAATTATATTTAGTTAAATTTTTTTTATGTCATACGGAAGTACAACCATTATATCAACCCGAGAGGACATGTCCAACAATAAAACGATTTATTTTGATTATTTAGTATTATGAAAGGTTTTTTTTTAAATGAGGATAAAAATTTGTAATACAAGTTGGATTTAATAATTTAATGTTTATCATACGCCCTGTCACACCTATTAAAAGATGTTCTACAATTGCAATCCTTCAGGCCATACACAAATTATTCAAATAGAAAACATATCGCTTTGCAGCCTTGTAATACACCGTTCAAAAGCCGCTATACTTTTCGATTAATTAATTTTTTCGATGTCCTTGGGAGAAATCCTGTCGTCCTATTAAAAATTTAAAGATGCAGATTTACTAGAAATGCGTTCAAATATGGGAAACATTTCGAATATATTGCCTTTTCAAAGTTTACATGGACGATTTGGCAGCCTTAGTTCAAGTTATTAACTAAAACTTCAACTAAAAGCCCGCACGGGTTATCGTTAGCCTACGGCCATAAAACTTCATATACATACATATATGCTATTTAGGCTAAAAAGCACAAATATAGAGGATATGCATATCAAAATTTGCAAACAAGTTTTTTTCCATATATTCTTGGGACAGTCTTATGCACTTAAGTATATACATATATTAGGGTGTATCACTCTCCATACAAAAAAAAAAAAAAAAAAAAAAAACTCAGTGCGTATAGTCCCTACGCGCGGAAGAAGTTGAAACTTAATAGAGAAAATGCCAGCAAAAAGGAATGTGCGATATACATACACATGTACATATTTTCTAATATACAAAAAACGTACACTGCCGGAATAAAGTATTGGCACAGCAAATTTTTCACAATTTATGCAACAATTTTCATTCTAATATTTTCCCGCTGATTTCGTATAAAAATATGGTTCATTCTACAACAAAAAACATAAAAATATAATTCCTAAACTTTGTTCGAAACTCGCAAAAATTCAGCAAATTTCCAACTTTTTAATCAGATTTTTTTGAATTTTTTTGAGTATGCAGATTTGTAGTCCAATCAATTTTATTATAATAAAGTGCAAGTTTTAAGAAGCTAGGAATTACCATTGATTTTAAGCAATTTTTTTTCACGCGGTCTCCTCAAAAAAAAGTTTTTTTTCGAAAATACTTTATATGGAAAAAATGCAAAACACCTTCAACAAAAAAAATCTCAAAAACAACGCGATTTTTAGCTAACTCCGAACTTGCATTTTTTTACTGGAATTTAATGGGCTGCAAAACTACATACTCTAAAAAATCTGATTAAAAAGTTGAAAACTTTGATGAAAATTTGCTAATTTTTGCGAGTTTGGCACAAAGTTTAGGAATTATATTTTTATGTTTTTTGTTGTTGAATGAACCATATTTTTATACAAAATTGGCGTAAAAATATTAAAATAAAATTTTTTGCACATATTGTGAAAAATTTGCTGTTCCAATACTTTGTTCCGGCAGTGTATTTACTTAAAATTTGCTTTAAACGACATTTAATTTTTTAGTTTTTATAACCAACTGCAAAGTTAATTATTATTTGTGGCTAAGAAAACAACCATATCTACAATATTAACTAGTAAGTTAAGTAAGATATGGAATGTTTTATTTTAATATTATTAATATTTCTGGAAAAAACCACATAAATGATAGCCGCTCCCTTGGTTGTTGGATCATTTCTACCATTAACCAATTCCAGTGAAACATTTGATTTAAAAAATTTTGCAAGTTCATCACACTTGGCCAGAGAAAAGCTGATGTTGAAATCTCCTGTGAGAATTACAGGTCGATCATAACAGTCTACTTATCTTCATCTTCCCTTTATCATTCATCTTCTTCTTCATCTTCATCGTCATCGTCATCTTCATCTTCATCTTCATCTTCATCTTCATCTTCATCTTCATCTTCATCTTCATCTTCATCTTCATCTTCATCTTCATCTTCATCTTCATCTTCATCTTCATCTTCATCTTCATCTTCATCTTCATCTTCATCTTCATCTTCATCTTCATCTTCATCTTCATCTTCATCTTCATCTTCATCTTCATCTTCATCTTCATCTTCATCTTCATCTTCAT